TGAAGCAGACGACGAGCTGGTTGACGGTTGACGCGGGTTTACACAGGCCTCTCCAACGTGAAAAGAAAAAGAGCTAAAAAGAATAGGCCTATAAAGGGTACAGCGCGTTTCGTTAATCGAGTTCTTTTTGGGTGTAAATAATTAGGGACTGGTGTAGAAGAGCGCATCATTTCGAGACCTCCCAGCCAATTGGCGCGCTCATCTACACTCGATTCTCGATCAATGAAACGCAGTGTACTACATTACATATGGAGCACGTGTTTTCTCGCATTCTCGCCGGCTTGCATCATTCGCACACGTATTGCAACATCATAAGCGGCCAGGTGTCATTAATTTAGGAAGAAGGAGAAAAACACGTCGCTCCGGATGGAGGTCTTCAGCATCCGATAATGATCGTTGTACCGATTGTCAATGATCGTGCGGACTTTAACGCCGAGAGATCTGGCGCGAGATAGTCTTTTGATTAGAGGCCACTTTTCCGCTTTATCAGCTCAATGACGGTTCTTGAAATCCTCTCGTTCACTATCGTCGAGGTGGATCATAACGCGGTGAGGAAATGCTTCACGAGCAGGAGGGGTCCGCGGCGAATCTCTCCAAGAGAGACATCCTGCTCACGTCGTTTGTCGTAAGTGTCGCAATTTGTCACGACCGGCTAATTACAGTTCGATGTTTCACTTCCTCAATGATCAATCAATTGATCGCACATTGATCGTTTATCGAGCGTAAACCTCGCCGATTAATTCCACGCAACGTGAAAGTCTGATGCTATTTCAAATTGATTTTCGTAAATTAGGGGCATAAATGCTCCTCTCTAATTTCGTCATAAATAAATTCTACGTTGTCGATAGATTGCTCTTTATTGAAAGGTAAAATTTTGACCTATGATTTTATTAGAAAATAATCGCTATTTCATACGTCAGTCAGGTGCTCTTGCAGGGATCATTTGTGACGTGACACTTTTCCCATTGGACACCCTGAAAACGCGCTTGCAAAGCCAACATGGGTTTTTCCAATCCGGCGGTTTCAGGCAGCTGTACAAAGGTGTGGGTCCCGTGGTGCTGGGTTCAGCTCCGTCAGGTACACGTTACAATTTAGCACAGAGTCACATCCAGAAAGCATTTTATCTCTAATATTAACGAAAACAATCTTGTTACAGCTGCTATATTTTTTATCACTTATGAGGGAATAAAACAGTATTCGCAACCATGTATACCGGATCAGTATCACTCCATTATACACATGGTCGCAGCATCGTCTGCCGAAGTAGTAAGTAATTCGTTAATCGCGTTCAACAATGTTTTGTATAAAGCGTCGTCTACAATGGCAGCAAGAGTATGCAGTAAGACGTAAGCCGTAATAGGCTATTGACCAACTACAGTCGATTATTCTTGAATTGTAAAAATCCCATTGTCAATAACTTACTACTTACGTCTCACTGTATACTCCTCCTGCTATTGTAGACGACGCTAAATACAGTCGAATAAATCTGATATTTTAAACTTTGGTGCTAGCATACAACTACAAGTATGACTATTAATCACGTAAATCATATTTTATATCTATTATATAAATAATATTTTATAAATCGTGCGATACCAAAAATGTTATGTAACAATATGTTGAAACTTACTTACTCGACTTAACACGTAGACTGCCTGCTCGGTTCGGGTGCCAGTTGAGGTAATTAAACAAAGGAAACAAGCGCTCTTGCCCGACACGCATCGACTGAGATTAAGAACACTGTATCGCGGTTACGGAAGCACCGTTCTTCGGGATCTGCCGTTCGGCGTGATCCAAATGCCATTGTGGGAGTATTTCAAGCTTTGTTGGACCCAACGTACGCAGCGAGAATGCACACCCCTGGCAGGCGCCGCTTGTGGCTCTGCGTCAGGTAATGACTCGAAACTCGCGTGTACTCGGTGAAATAATTTCGGTTAAAACAATCAGAATCGTTATTTATACGAGATTTTTGATATTTTTCATTTCTCATACACAGTTGCTATATCGGCCGCTGTAACGACGCCGTTAGATGTTGCCAAGACTAGAATTATGTTGTCCAGCACGTCGGCGGAAAGAGAGGAAGTTAAGATATCGACAATGTTGAAAGAGGTTTACAGAGATCACGGCGTTAAAGGGTGAGGATTGTGTAAGATACTGTATTTCTCAATCTAAATCCATTCCCGATATTTCAATAACGGAATAACGTTTTCAGGTGGTTCGCTGGTTTTCTTCCGAGAGTAACTGGCTTTACTGTTGGTGGGTTCATATTTTTTGGCGTTTATGAGCAAGCCAGAGAATTTTGTATAGCCTACTTCTCCTAGTCGCTGTTAAATGAAAAAAATTATAAAAACTTAAATTAAATTAATTATTTATGAATACATTCTAGTACGTGAGCTTTCTTACTCAGCAATATCCTACTGGGATCAATTCTGAAAGGTACGTATAGATTATAGATTAATATTCAGCTGTAAAAAGATCAAAGTTTAAAAGAATCACAGAATTGTTTATTTTCAGTGTCTTAAGGATCGAGTTTCGGAGAAAATCAAACATGTTCAAGTTTCTATTGGATCCACGTGCACGAAGAATTATAATGAATTAATCATGCTTAACTTATTAAATAATAGTATTATTTTATCAGCATGGGCAGACGTATTGTTTTATTGTTTAAGATATGAAAAAAAGATTAAAGACAACGAATAAAATAGAAATTTTGTTTTAAACAATTTCAATTGAAATAAATCACTTGTTAAATTAAATGGAATTTGATTGAGGTCTAAGCTCAATTTTTGTCAGCGGATTATGGTTCTAAAAATTAAAAAAAGAGTAAGTTTAATCGAGATTAATTTGCATTGAAAAACAGCAAGGAGCGTGTCCGTGTCGACCAATCAGAATTCGTAATCACAATCGTAAGTTTCAAAATGGCGGTCTTGCGTTTTCAATAATTCTCGACTGTGATTGGTCGATTCGCGTTTATCCGAGCTGTGTGCCGCTTCCCCTTTTATTCCGGTAGGGAAATTCGATTAGTTGAGGACGCATCGCGCGTCAGCTTCTCTCTGTGCCCAATAGCGGCTAAATTCACGTCTGTTCGACCGATCGCTCTCGCACATGGCGGCCATGTTTTAGGACGCGTTTACCAACCACGGCGTCTCGCGCGAGTCGAGCCAATATTTTCCGATAATCAATCGAATTTGCATTTGTAAAGCAGGCGTCGCGTAAAATCATCGCGCGCCGGTCAATCGAATCCCGCCGTAATTGATAACATTGCTCTCGCTACAGTCGATATACGGGTTTTTCGCCGTACGATGGACGTGCGCCCAGTGCACCCACGGCCAACTTCAGAGGTGTGTCATGTTTGCGCTCGGCGCGTTGCTTCGTGATCGGGATCGTCGTTTTACGCTGTCGGGAATCTATGAAAGATGTTGTCGCTAGGCCCGAAAAAGGACGGCGGACCCAACGCCAAGTTCTTCGAGGCGCCGGAAGTTCTCACCCAGCTTGATGGTGTTAAGCAGTGGCTGCTCAAGAACTGCAAGAAGGTACGCTCGTTCTGTGTGCGAACATGGATACCCGGCGTCGTAAACTCGTCGCGGTGTACTGCGTGCGGGCCTTCGCTTCTTCTCTCGCGGCACGCGCTATCGTGCCGATCGCGATTTTTCCACGCCGCCGATCGGCCGATGTCTTTTTCAGATAAATTTCTTGACAGAAAAAATTTCACGAGAATTCTCGCAATGCACTGATATTATCTTTTATAGCGCTGACGCGAACGCGACTATCATCCCGATGACTGTACATCATCGTGAAATTTTTTAACTGTATATCTATCGCTTATACGCGTATGTATATGTGTGTACAGTGAAAGCATGAAATCAGTAATTATGTACGCTTATCTGTATTATTATATACAATTACCTAATTTTATTCTTTCACTGGAGCATTATATATATATGTGCACACACACATGTATGCATGTATATATCTTTGGACAGAAGTAATAAGCAAGAAATCGACAAAATATTCATAGGAAAGCATAATCGTGATTATAAAACGAGAATAGTATTTATATACGTTCCTACTCTCTCATTAATTTTTTGTATTGATTATATTATGCAAGTATTAAATACGTTTATTTCATAATTTCTTTTTTTGTGATTCTTTGTAGTATGTACAAACGGATCCGCCCACTAACAAGAGCTTAGCCACGTTGCTGGTGCAGCTTTTGCAGTTTCAGGAGGACAATCTCGGAAAAAATGTGTCAAAGCCACCTATGACTAGGCTTCCAGTATGTAAAATATGTGTATTACGCAACGAAAGCAATTGATGTAATATTTTGAATCAATTATTTATTCAATTTTTACAGATGAAATGCTTCCTGGATTTTAAGCCTGGCGGTGGAGTGTGTCATATATTAGCTACTGCTTATCGTTTTAAGCAGGAACAAGGATGGAGGCGCTTTGATTTTCCCGGTGGAAAAGTAATTGTTTACTCCTTTTATATATATATCTTTTGCAGAGAGATATCTTTCTTTATATTGATACTGAATATTGATACTCCTGCTCTGTATATAAGGATTGCACAAACATGGAACTGATTAGCTATTATCACTATTATTACAGTCGGGATCCCGTATGGATCGTACGGTGGACATGCTGGTGGCGGCGGAACGTGCTTTAATACAGAATAGATGTATGACTGTACCAAGTATTTTCGTGAGACCGGATGTCGACAAAAACACAGCTGCGAAAGTAAAAGATGTAGTTAGAAAGCATCAGGGGACTGTCGTGGAGAATGAGGCGGATGCTACACACATTATCTATCCTCCAGTAGATCCGATGGAAGAGGAATACGCGCGACCCTGTATGAGACGCGAGCGATCGGTTCTAATTCATTGGTACTACTTTCCAGACAGTTATGATTCTTGGTTGACACTGGATCTTCCGTGGGATTATCCCGAAGGGACTTACACAAACACAAATTCAAGGTGCTTAAACATTTGATGATCTTTTAATGTAAATTAAGCTAATTAACTGATGGAAATTGATTTATCGAAAATTTGACAATTAATTGAAATTAGTTGATGCTGTTGATCAATTTTAATACGTTGGAAGCGTTGTTGACAAAATATTTCTACTTACAAATTTAATTTATATGTAAATGCTAAATGTAAATTAATATGTTAAGTAAACTCTGCAATTATTTTCTAGATCAATGTATAAAGTATCGGCTACATGGGCGTTAGACTTAGATCAATATAATGAGTGGATGAACGAGGAAGATTACGAGGTAGATGATAGCGGTCAGAAAAGAGTACACAAATACAGGCTCTCGGTGGAAGATTTGATGGCACAGCCATCACATCCGCCACCCGCGAAGAAACCTAAGAGGAAACGATCGCCCAGCCCACCTCCAAAGCTCGGCAAGCGTAAGAGGTACGATTTTGATAACGAATGATAACGAGTTCTCAAGTTTCAAACGGGACTTTGCTCACCTTCGATTTCGTACGTTGCCATTTATAGTAGCAGAGCACCGTCGGGTATTCAAAGCGCTTCTTCCGCGTCATCGACAACGGTCCCAAAGAAATCACGCGGCGGCGAGGAAGAGGAAGATTTGACTCAAGGAATGGAGGATCCGCCTGCCGAACCTCGTATCGTCGAGGTGGTTGCTACGCCCGCAAATCCACCGATCGCAGGCCAAGGCAATGCAACAACGGGTAACTCCACCTTGGCGTCTACCGGTAGTAAAAAGCAAGATAGCGAACTTCAACCTCTCAAATCGGGCAATTTAACCGATCTTGATGAACAAATGGAAGGTATGTAAAAAAACCTAGATAATTAAACTTAGATCGGTGATGTAATATCGTAAAATGCCACACATTTTGGCATCAGATTGATAGTTATAAATGTTTTCCAATTATATGTTAATTTAACGAATCCTGAACTAAAAGCTGTCGATATGTCATAGGAGACAAAGGAAGCTCTCAAGGTGGACAAGATAGAGAAGAGAGAGATACTAGTAAAGAAAGAGGTGAAGGTGGCAAAGGTGATGAACCGGAAGACAATGTGACGGAACAGACGCATCATATCGTTGTTCCTAGCTATTCCGCCTGGTTTGATTATAATTCGATTCACACCATAGAGAAGCGAGCTTTATCAGAATTCTTTAACGGTAAAAATAAGTCCAAGACTCCGGAAATTTATCTTGCGTATCGGAATTTTATGATCGACACTTATCGATTAAATCCAACGGAATATATTACATCTACCGCCTGCAGGTAATATACCTAATTAATATATGCATATAAAACTGTTATATTTTTATTATTAAAAAAAAAATAGAAAAAAGACGTTTTTCTTTCACATATGAAACCATTTATAGGCGGAATTTAGCTGGGGACGTATGCGCGATAATGCGCGTGCACGCATTTTTGGAACAATGGGGACTTATTAACTATCAAGTAGACGCAGAGTCCAGACCGACGCCAATGGGACCTCCACCGACATCGCACTTCCACGTTCTGTCGGACACACCATCCGGTTTGGCACCGGTCAATCCAAATCCGCCGAAAACGCCGCAGCCATCCGCTGCAAAGATGTTGCTCGACTTGGAGAAGAAGCCGAGCGTGACGGGTGCCCTGGGTTCAGAGGAGAAGGCTTCGGCGGGCGCAATGGCAAATTTCGGTCTGAAAATCGACCAGTATTCGAGGAAACCGGCAGTCCTAAAAAACAAACAAGCGGCAGGTGCCACGCGCGATTGGACAGAACAGGAGACACTTTTGCTATTGGAAGGATTAGAATTGCACAAGGACGATTGGAACAAAGTATGCGAGCACGTGGGCTCGAGGACGCAGGACGAGTGTATCTTGCATTTCTTACGTTTACCTATAGAGGATCCATACTTGGAAGAAGGCGGTCCCGAAGGGCTGGGCCCATTGGCTTACCAACCGGTACCGTTTTCGAAAGCCGGTAATCCTGTTATGAGTACAGTCGCCTTCCTTGCATCGGTCGTGGATCCTAGAGTAGCTGCGAGCGCGGCAAAGGCAGCTATGGAAGAGTTTGCCGCGATAAAGGATCAAGTACCAGCTGCATTAATGGACCAGCATTTACGAAACGTTCAAGCTAGCGCTAATTCAGACGGTAATTTTATAATTGTATATTATAAATTAGAAACTAGAGTGATCTAGTTTGTGTAAGGCAATGCATATAATGATTGTAATGTACAAAAAATATCAATTATTTTTTTATTTTTACAGGTAAATTTGATCCAGCGGCGGGGCTAGCACAATCGGGCATCGCTGGCACAGGACCGCCTGAACCGCCTGACGATACAGCGGCTTCTACCACGACAACGACCCCGTCCGTACCTACGGGCGCGGCTAGCTCTCCTCATTCCACGGCGCCGACTCCCGAAGCGAAGAAAGAGGAACAAGATAAAGCTAAAGATGCTATGGAAGTCGAACAATCTCAGGTAGATGTTACGAAGAAAGAGGATGAATCAAAGGAGGGCGAAGAGGACACAAAGTCTACCACTGATCCAGAGGCTGCTGAAGCGAAGGAGAAGAAAGACAAGGTAAATATTGAACACAGTGAATTGATTTGACATATGTTATAAAAGAGAATATCAAAATGTTTAAATAATTGATACCGCCCAATATCGTGTGTTTAAACTTAATTTTATTTTTTCACAGGTCGTAAGGGACGCTCAACTACAGTCTGCAGCAGCAGCAGCATTAGCGGCCGCAGCTGTTAAAGCCAAACATTTAGCAGCTGTGGAGGAACGCAAGATCAAGTCGTTGGTCGCGTTGCTAGTCGAAACTCAAATGAAGAAACTGGAGATTAAATTGCGTCACTTCGAAGAATTGGAAACCACGATGGAGCGTGAACGCGAGGGTCTTGAGTATCAGCGGCAGCAGCTCATCACCGAGCGGCAGCAGTTTCATCTCGAGCAACTGAAGGCGGCCGAGTTTAGGGCACGACAGCAAGCTCACCAGCGACTGGCTCAGGAACAACAACAGCAACAACAGCAGCAACAACAGAATCAACAACATCCACCTTGGCAACCGCCTGGTGCGCAGCAGCAGCAGCAACAGCAGCAACCGCCAAGTCCGCAGGCTCAACCGCAACAACAGCCGCCACCGCACACGCCACCGCAGCAGACATAACTCTTTTGTGAGTTTGAATCTTTAAATGGTTAAGTAGTTAGTCCATCGTAAACTTTTACAGATTATGACACGTTACTAACGCTTCTCCAGTCCCTCTTTTTGTTTCTCCGTTTTTATTCGATGATGATTATTTGCTTCCAAGTTACAGATCGTTTCCACGATTATGTATACAAAATAATTTTACATCGTTTTGAGACATTTCGTATCTCGAAGAAGGAATAAATATAGTTTGCAAATGTTTCTTTGTAGTTTTGATTTCTATTATATGGATGCATATATGGGAAGAAATTATCTTTCTTCATAATTTATCACATAAAAAACAAAAAAGAAAGATTTCTCGCGGAACAAATTTTGTATTACTCTTTTTCAATGACAATAAGAGTTATAAAAGACGTACACATTTGAGATATACATTATACGTATTATTACACATAATATCATTATCGAATAATGTGACATTTGATCTACAGAGCCTCGTTGTCTATCAATTCCAGCACTAAGTCAGTCATGAGTCGAGCACACTCAGCGTTTCCGCGTGGCGGTGCTCCTGCGGTATTATGTTTCTCCTCGCTAGTTTCCGTGCTACTCGTTTCGTACAGATTCGGTGCTTCGTGACTGGCGCACGTGCTAATTGGTAGAATGTCCAATGCCAATCCCAATCCGAATCGTCCGCATCTCCGCATCTCTTCCTTTAATCTGTAATCGTTGAGTAGACGATAATATCAAAGAGGTAGTCAAACCATTCTAAGTCTATGTTTTTAAACTCAGAAAATAGTGAACACCGCAAAATTACATTTATATTCGTTAAGACGATAATATATCCGTTTTTAAAGACATATGAAATTTAAGACGATTTGCAAATAAGCTCTTCGATTAAACGAAAAGTTACTTATAAAGTGCAAGTAATTTATTATAGTTTTGTCGCACAACTCGGTATTTTACTTACAATTCCCACATGATAGCTGGATCTTTCGGCGGCTGTTCCGGATTGAGAACGCGCAAGGAGGACATCAGATGGGAATGATAATGCTGGAGAAGCTGTGTCATGTAAGCCCGCCTAACAACACCACTCGTGCAGCAGTATAGCAAGTTCGCAAGATCAAGAGCGAGTGAACCGACCCGCGTCAGTTGAAAATCAACTAGATAAACGGCCTGCAGAAGCACAGTATTAAAAATCAAGTCTAGGAGGTTTCGCAGCGAGACGCATCTCACATTCGTGCCAGTCAACATTGTCAGTCTCGAGTGTGATTTATAGATCATAACGCGGGGTAAATATTCTTGCATCGTGTATCTGGCTGTATTTATTTTTTTGTTATAATTATCTGAAATTTTTATCCAGCATGGATGGAAAACTAAACGATTGAGAAAGAGAGAAAGAGAGAGGGAGAAAGTTAAGTATGAGTGTGTAAAATGTACATTATATATCTTTTTCTGAATTTTTTCAACTTTCGGGCGTTATATAATTTTACGTCACGATTTTTCTAAAAGTTGACTATATCGAATTTAATTAGATGTAATTATGCATAATGCAAGAATCTTTGCGACCGGCTACACGGGTCTAGGGTGTGATCATTTTCGCTAAACCGGAATCTTTGTAATAAGATCGCAAATGGAAAAAAACATTTGAATCATATAAGAATCTTATAAATTTATATAATAAAAGTGTATGGAACAACAAAAGTGGTTTCTCGTTTCGTTATCTTGTAAAGTATCTGAAAAAACAAAGGAAGATGATTACCATCATCTGACGATAATCATCTTTTTATTAAACATATGCGACCTTTCATTGTAGATATTACCAGACATGCAATGTGTATTGCACTTTTCTAATTTACTTTTCTTACAAAATAAAAGATTCACCTCTGTATCCGAGCTTGGTTCATCCTGAAAGAGGAAATTGTTGGTCCAACAATCACCGTGACAAAATACGGAGAGAGGTCCTTGCGCGGAGACGAGTTCGCTCATAGTGCGGAAAAATACATCTTCGTTTAGGAAAGCTTGCAACTTCGTCATTACCTCCTGTCTTCTGTGATCTATGTGCGAAGGAAGCGCTTCGGACACCATCGTGATGGCATTATTCACGGCCACGCGATAATACTGACGGTACCAATCTTCATTATCCCGTCGAAATAACGTTTCTTGTATACCTTGATCAGGATTTCTTAAACTCACGAACTCTTCCGGCCTTTAAAAAGTAATATCTTTTTGCATTAAAACTAGGAGACGAGGATAGAGAACGAAACTCTTGCGTGTAAAAAACAAAATTTCTTTTTAGCAATATTTTCATTATCATTAATATTTTTAATTACAGCGATTCTCGAGCTAGTCTATTTCTAGGAAAATCTAGTTAATCTTCTCGAGTTATTCAGAATAAACTTGTTATTTCCACAATTATAATTGTAAAGACTAGACATACTTACTTCAATTCCTTTAACGTCAAACTAAGTGCGTGAAAGCCTGCTAGAGCCTTCAGCACATGCTCTAGATTCTCCACTTCTAATCCTTTCCGTCTATCTGCCATCTTAAAACCTCTCTGTCTCAAATCTTCCATGGCAATAAGATCGGCTCTAGCAGCGTATATCTTGGGTACTCCGCTGAACACTCTTCTACCGTTTGACTGCAGTCTGTTCAGCGTGGGCCACACATGCTTATAAAACACGACTTCGTTTCTGAACAGTAACTCGCTCTTAAACGCCTCGCGACGTTTCTTAGATTCCGGTAGTATCTTGTAAATGATGGCACACTCGTAATTAATGTATTCCTCATTTTTCAACAGCTTACGTCCCTTTGCCCTGATCCGGTACAGCATCGAAGTATAATTATCTCCTCTTCCCGAACCTGGTTCTTCTTCTAAACTATCAATCTCCACATTGGGCTCATCCTCAGTAATTAATTCACGGATATCGTCGAGAGAAAGTTTATTACTACTATCGCCGCTGCTATCCATTATCCTGACAGATCTGCTGGGAATTCCAATCTTTACGACGATGATTTCAATGATAACTTCTCGATTTTTCCGGGTGGAGCAGACTTTAACATCCTATACTTCACGGTAGATCGGAGAGTTGTGCCAACTGACGCAGGAAATGAGTATTTGAGCGGCTAGAGCGGTTGGAGGGTTGCTACCTCCCACTGTTACCGATTTAATTCATTAATGATTTACGCCCCCCAACTCTAAGAGACAAGGACATTGATACATGTCAATCATGCACCTCATCATTTAGATTCTCCGCTTTGATTCTTCAAAACGCGGCGCGGGTTCGTCGCGCGGTATATGATATAATGATATAAAGAGAGCTCTCTTTCAATTGTTAGTATGTTTGTGCACACACACAGTAGAGAAATATATAATGCATAAATATTCTTAAAAAGATTTATTGTATCAAGTAACAATTTATTAATACAATTGTACAATTGTATTAAGTAACAATGTATCGATAAATTAAAAACGGTAACAATCTGATAAAAATGTAGTTTTCACGCTTTTATATCTCATCAAGAAATTTATATTACACAGTGATATAATTTGTTTTTTCTTTGCTCTTTAAGAGTAAGAAAGGAACCCATGCTCAATTGAATCGATTATACAGATAGCTTGCAGAAGCACGATATTAATCAAGTCTGGATTTTGCAGTGAGACATTTGTGCCAGTCAACAATGTCAAAATCTTTAATATGATTTATAATTCTTTTCTTTGTTTCTTTTCTGGGAGAATAGGAAAGAAGGAAAAAAGATGTAATACATAAGAAGATAGAACTACGAATCAAAAAGTTAAAGAAAAGGAAAAAGGCAAGGTTGGATGGGGTACAAAAAAGATATACCACACAAGAGATGAAGGAAAGATCGAAATAGATAACAACATAGACAAAACAGTTCTTGAAAGACGGAAAAATAGAGAGACAATAATTTCATTGATTTCTACCGCATCGATTATAGTGGACCGAAAGTTATAAAACAAACACATTTATATATACAGTACTTTATTTCGAAGAACTAATTCTCATCAGAGAGCTGTAATTTGAGAACGTCGTTACCCACTAAACTAATTAATATATTTTCCTGGTTGGAGGTAAGGGATACAGTTTTGTGTAACTTTTTAGCCATTTCCCCGGCTCCTTCTAAATTATGGAAAGTAACGTACTCCAGGAGTGTCTAGAAGTAAATGCACCGACGTTATTATAAATCAATTGATACTAATATTTAATTGAAACTAATATTTAAAACGGATGTACACTTACGAAAATCGCTGGCACGTGCGCTTGCGCCAAACACAATTCGAATATTTCGTTTATGTGTTCCGTTATAATGGTATTGCTATTCTTGATTAAATGCGGCGAACGAACCAATGACGATATAATTTCTACTGTTTTGTCGAAATTATTTCCACGTAGCAACAATATTATAATGTTGCCCACCACTGTATTGGATATCAAGACGTGCTGCATTTTTCTGACATTCTGAGTCTGTTGAAAAAATAATACACAATTATATATCATTTCAATATATCTGATTATAAAAATAAAATCCCATAACTAGCAATTTTAATCTTAACAATAGATTCTCTGTAATTTGAAATCGACTTGGTTTTTCTTTTTCTTCTTCAGTCACGTACAGCTCAGAAAGTATTAATGTATCGACACTTGCTAAGCAAAGACTCATTCCAAATTCGTCGGAGAATCTGTTATTAGATGCAAAATGTGAAGCACCCTACGTATAATTAAAAAGTAATTTCAATTACTTGTATATGATCCCAAATAGCGAGCGCCATATCTGCGAATTGCGCATTCAACGAAGAATCGGGTGCGGGTTTACAATGTTCGCTCATCAAGTGCAATATATTCTCCAATAACTCTTCCCTGTCTAGATGACCGAACATGATCATGTGCGACCAGAGTTTTGGTATATATTGCGTGGCGGTCTCCGCGGGATGTAATTTAAGAGCTTCCAATATAGCACTCATTACGGCAGGTTCCGGTATAGTCACGTGCGGTACAAGCTTGCTGTAGAGATTGAAGAACGTCTCGAATTCTTCTGTTGCCAAAATTAACTCCAAATAAAATCGATAATAGACGTGTTCCTGAAGCAAAATATTAGCTCTATACCAAATGCGTAATATAAAATATATATATATATATATATATATATATATATATATAATTAAATAACATATTTCCAAGAATACAAAACGCGCGACATAACAAATATCTTAGATCTTGTAAAAAATTGTTTTAAGTATTTGAACTCTCAGCAAATATTATAAATTCTGTGCATAATGCCATTAAAAAATATCGATTAAAGTTTAAAAGATTTTTAAAAGAATGATGTTAATTTTATCCTTTATGTATGTTTTTTTTATATTTTATTAATTACAAAAGAAATAAAATTATTTCACGGTACGTGGTGTTTTTCTGAACAGAATGTGTTGAGGGTTTAAGAAACTTACTCTATAATTGTTGCCGATAAACTTGTAGTTTTCACCGGCGAGAAGAAGCTCATTCACCATTTCACCTGCTTGACGCTCACAGAACTGCCGGGACGCTATTTCCATCGCGGTAACAAAGAAATTTAAATCTTTTTCACTTTGAATGGTAAGGGTTTCCTCCTTTAAAGACTCCAAGATTTTCATAAAGCTATTGTATGACGCATCACCTGTTTCAATGAATAAACTCATCAACATTCGGCCGGCACACAAAATCTTTGCGAGATAAGAGAATGTATAATTACCGAATCTACTTAAAATTCGCAGCAAATAAAAATATGTAGTTAACGATGGCTTTAGCTCGAATTTCATGATATCGGCAAGTATGTTGGATACAAAATCTAGAGCTACTCGATTAGTTTTTATAGTAGTAGCTATATTGAGAGCGGCATTAAAGGTATGTATGTTTGGAGTGATCCCGTTCGCAGCCATTGCTCTGTATATTTCCATTACCAAAGATTTTGATTTTTCCTCTCCTTGTCTTAGCATTGGTACCATCGACATCACGGCATTATATCCATCGATGGATAATGGAATTTTTTTTCCTTGACTTTCATCATACAAGTGCCAAGCCCTGTCCGGCTAAAACAACAAAATTATATCAAATTTTTATTGAAATTTATAATAATAAGGCTTTAAAATATACAGTGAAAAAAAAAAAAAAGAAATTTAGGCAATAAGAGCCAAAGTATATGTATAGTTGACAGAATGCAAGCAATACAGTTAAAATTTGAGTGATTTATTCGAATAATTATTAACAATAAACAAACACGCGTTTCGGTCTCTAAACTTGTTTCTAACTTTGTCCATTTTTAGTTTTTAATATCCACAAAAGAGAATCCCAATCTTTGATCAAAACGTACACTTGTAAAGTTATCCAATCATCAAATAGACTCGAATTTTCTTTTTTATCATAGCGCATTTTTACGTTTCAGATTAAATCCATTGTAATTAAGTTGTACTTATAACTAATTTAAAAGTTATCTTACGCTGGAATGTTTAGCTAAACCACATATCATCGCAGTGTAGGCAGCGGCTGCTACTGTGGGCTCTTGTTGCTTCAGAAATTCAAACAGTACATCGATTTGTGGATAACTTCTGTGTAAATCATCGATAAAATACAAAATATTATTTAAAGCCAGGTGAGGAAAATACATATCAGTAAAGGAAAGATGATGTATTCAATTTTCATAGACTCACATCCAAGCGTTCGCCTTACGTTTCTGTTCGAGTGCGTACCAACGATTCTCCAGCAAATCGTCACTGGTATGTTCACAATTATTGTAAAAGCACAACAATTCCAAGAGTGCCTGTTTCGTTGGCACGGTTATCTCACCTTTTAGTAAATCGTATATCGTGATAGAGTTGGAAATGTGACCGTTTGATATCTCGTATAATAACGTTTCCTCCGTCACTTTACTTTCCTCTGTGTAAATGGGAGGTGGTACGAACGCCTGCAAAACAAGTACAACAATATACTACTTGAACTTGCATATCGGTAATCAACAGTGGAATATTATATGAATCGACAATCAGATATAGATACGGCGTTTAATTAATGACATTACTTCTGATACAGTTACCTTAATTTCAGGGTCTGCTACTTTATGCTGAAATAAATCGCGGTGCTCCTGACGAACCCACATCGCGGTCTTCCTTCCAGACTCCTTCGCCAAAGCGTACGAGCGATTATGCATCTTTGACAGTGGCGTCAAGTAAGGGTCGTCGTGAAACTTATAATGTGGCGCCGTATAATCCCTGGATATCGTGGTCTCCAAAGCCTACAAGACAAATCGGACGACACACTTATAGAAGAGCATCATCCAAACAAATTTGCTCCTACCTTCAGGAGCGAAATAAAATACAATAATTTCCTTTACCTTGAGGATATCTGTGGGACCACGTTCTATCCTTTTTGGGATATGGACATCCGTAGATGAGGCTGACGTTGCGGTTGTCGACTGCAACCGTACCATCAATTCCTGGTACAATTTTCTGCAAATGTTTAAAATACGAATAAAATTATCACAAGTTTACTATTCATTCATCCTTATATAAATATCCTTTTAGAAACAAATGTATATAATTAAATAGATTACCAGATATTATTTAAATAACAGGTAAAACATTCACGTGCATGAAAAGTAAGTCGATCGTGAAAAATAATTAAAATTGCTAGATTTACTTTCCAACATTTCCGAAATTATTTAAAGTACTCTCGTCGTATCGTCGGTGCGTGCATAACGAGATCCGGCAATTTCGCTCAGAAAAGCAATTGATCTACGTATGTAAACTGAACGAATCGTAACTTGTTACGTACCCACGCGAGATTCTTGCCAAAGAATTCATGATGTCAGTTGTGAAGATGAAAGAAATTAATGTTTCCTATATTTTTCCTCTCTCAATCTTTACAGCCGCAAGTTTGGAGGTTAGATCATTGGAAGTCGTGAGGTTAGGTTAGGTTAGGATTAAACGCGACACGCAACACCCGACACCGCATGCAGCGGATAATCCGCGACAAATCGATAATATATTGATATTTTAGTACCTTTCCGATGCGGGAAAATCCGCAAAATGATTAAATCGCAATTAGGTACATCATAAAATTAACCGATGACGATGATACATCAAAACAAACTCATTAAATAAAATTTCTTGAATTGATATAAAGCTAGAGCGAAGCAACACGTTAATTATTGTGAGAGCACGTTCGATTAAATTCTGATTGACTAGTGATTGATTTAGATGACAGAATAACTTGGAGCAAAATTTTTAACCACATAATTCGTTGTCCCTGACTTTTATCTTTCTTTTCCCTTCATCCCTAAAGAATAAAATAATAATTCTATTCTTGATAGTACAAGTTTGATAAGTTACATATATTAAACACTGATTAAGTTTAATCGAAGCTCAGCTAAAAGATCACAAACTACCTCGAGATTATAAATATCTCTTGACAAACAGCTTTTTTAATTATGCAAATAAATGATAAAAGTTTCAACATACTCTTAAAAAATGTTAAAACATAAATTAACAGAATAGCGATAGAATGTTCGTTAATTAAGTCGACCAAATTAGTCCTAAATCTCTTTTGACTCTCAAGGAGGAGAAGGCTTCTTAGGAAAAGAAATCTCGAGAGAAAAAAAGCACGCAAAAATGCTGGTATATATTTATCGTGCAGGGTGCCCGCTATACGTGATGAGTGATGAAACATGAAAATATGATCGATAAGTACGTTGGTCAGCAATTCGCTCTTGTTAACGCTTTTTCGTACACCAACTGCATTTTGCGAGATGTTGGTTCCACGTTCCACCTGGCCCTGTAATGCATTTACAAGTATCAACGCGGATTAACGTCAATCTCTCGTAGAGCAATGGGACATCTGGTGATCTGGTCGGCTCGGTTGCCTATCCGTAGGCTTCGCTTCCCGTAACGGAAATGCGTATCGCGTAATGTGCCCAGGGATAATTCCTGTCCCTGCACATTTCTGTCACCCAATGGCTCTAATTGTAAGGGTGACATTGATCGAACTCCGATTAACTTAATCAACGGATTAACTTGTGATTATTCGTAATAATTTCGTTAATATGGCTGGAATTATTAAATTTTATGATTTGACATAAAAAGATTAAATTATAGGGACGGTAAATTACGTAGAAAAGTTTGTTGTGAGCATGGTTGAATTTATATTGTCGATCAATTAAGCTAATCGAAGTTTCGCCCAAGTTACCCTTAACGCCGTGCGGATTCTACGTTGCATCAAAATCGATGGAGCTTCTTGTACGAAGATCCACTTTAGATCTTTAATTATCAAAATATCAAGTATCAATTAAGTATCAAAATTCAAGATTAAATTAAAATTCTTTTAAGATTCATAAAAATCTTTTAAGATAAAACTCTATTAAGATGAAGATAGAGTATTTGCAATTTCACGCGTCGTGCAAATAAAAGCATTTAAAGAGAAGCAAAAATACATAAAATATAAGATATATAAAATGACAAATAAAAACCATCCTAAAATCTGAGTCCAAAAGATAAGTGGGTCTAAAGATATTCGCAAGATATTTTGACGTGTTTACTTGCGAGGGATTAGCACGTAACACAGTGGCAGGAGAATTAATAATTCTGATAGAGAAGAAATTAAATTCCCACTGCATAATATTAGAATGCCCGATGACCCACTTACGAACGCGCTTGTTCGGAATAGTGCGTCATCGGCAAACGCATTGTTCCTTCAACTGCGTTTTAGCAGCAGCTGGCTCCCCATAGTCACCACTACCATCACCATCACCACCACCCGCCACCACCACCACCACCATCGTCGCCACCATCATCGCCGTCAGGCAGAGGGTACATCTTGCACCCTTCTTCATTAAATAGCTCAAGGTATCATCCTCTCCTTGGTTTTTAACGACGACGTAGGTATGAGCCGCTCTCGGCAGCTGCTCTCCTCTCTCGGAGAAAAGGAACATACAGAGAGAGAGAGAGAGAGAGAGAGAGAGAGAGAGAGAGAGAGAGAGAGAGAAAGGAAGAGTGGCAGATAGAGATTCGTTTCTTTCAACGAATTTATTTGTTTAGCATATGAATGGCGCGCGCGAGAGCGCGCGTTCACGGTTGCGCACGGTGAACCCTTTGGCATATTACAAAGAATTCAATAAAGTTCGTAAGGAAGCCCAGAGGGAACCACACGGTCTCAGGCCGAAGGCCGGAGAGAACGAGAGAGGAGAGACAGGGAAAGAGAGAGAGAGAGAGAAAGAGAAAATGCGCAAAAGAGAGCGAGAGAGGGAGAGAGAGAACTCCCTCTTCTCTCCGTGAGAACGCGCATGCTGTATACCTCATTTCGGACCCTATGCACATCACCGGGGAGCAAAGAGAAACCTTCTTTTTTTTTTTCCGACACAAGATCGCTCGGCAAACTTTGACACTGTATTTTGTATCGTACAATATTTCGGGAGTATTTTATGTTTTGATATTTTAAGAGTTGTGCCACGGATTTTTCTTCAATAAAGAACAAGAGAATGAGGGAATAAAAGAACGAGAGGAGAGAGAAAGAAAGGATATCTTTTTCTTTTATATTGCAAGAGATTTCTGCGCGTAGTTTATAAAACATAATAATTAAGTAACCAAATATTTATTTCTTTACGTCACATTTTAACTTAACTTATATATGTTATCGCATATACCTCTTAAATTTTCTGTTTCTTGATCTGATAGTAACATGTACAAAGCGAATACACGCGTCAAGTGCAACGTGCCGTAATTAAATCCACTTGTTTGAACACCCTACAAGATTAATTAGTTTCATCAATCTCTCATCAATCTGGCCGAATGAAGCTTTCAAAATTCATTCATCGTGCACCGTCGGCGTCGCGACGCAGACGCGGCCGAGCGAAAATGTATTTTTCTCTTTAATTCACCTCGGGCGAAGAGCCCAGAGCTCCGTCGCCGCGTATATGCTGAAAACGGACAAGACGTGTATGTGCACGCGTGCACGCGTACGTATACATGCACATGCATGACCGGCGGCCGGGGGGCGGTGGGGCGGGCGGGCGAGAAGCCAGGTGTTTTATTTCAAACCGTGGGACTCTCCTTAAAGAGAGGGATGCTTTTGCTTTTGCGTTACACGCGCTCTCCCGTCCTGCTCCCGGTCCCGTTCGCGGGAGCGAGACGGAGAAGGCGTCAGGAGCGAATGAAAAACAGGATTCGCGTCCCTCCACGCTTCCACGGGCAGCAGCCCTCACTACTTTTATTGTGTTTCCTTGTTCGATCGAACGTAACGTAACCCTCCCGCCCTCCCCCCCGCCTCACGGCCGCCCTTCGTCCTTTGATAGCGGGTTTTTCCTCTTCCTTTTTTTCCGCCTTTTTCTTTGTGCGCCTCCGCGCCATCCAGAGAGAATTGTGAAACGCGCTTCGCATATCCACGGGGGTACGTTTTACACGTGGCACCTCTACGCGTGGAAAAGAAAACAGAAAGGAATAAGGAAGCAAAGAGAGAGAGGGAGAGAGAGAAGGTGACACGATGTAGAAGAAATACACTGTGTATCCGTATAGAATGTATGTCCTCTTCTCTCTCAAGAGAGAGCAGAAAACCCGAATCCGAATCCCCGCGAGCTTGCCAATTCGGGGCTCGCGGTAAGCAGGCGAGCCTGCTGGGGAGAAGTCCGTTTGCCTTGTCCTCTCTGCCCTTCCTTCCTATGCCGTGCGACCGTTTCGGATGGAACGGTTACGTGAGCATCGCGCGCCACACAAAAGGATGCGCGGCTTCCTCTCTCTCTCTCACCTCCTCTTTCTTTCTACCCTTTTCTTCCTTCCGAATTCGTGCACGATCGTTAATAACCGCGCCTCGCAAGGTGGCGGAAACGCTGTCGTCCACCTCACTCCCGAATTGGCCGGAAACGCGCGGGAACGCCAAGCGACATCCTGGAGGAAAAAAATGCTTTCTCTCTTTCGACGAGGAAGAATCGCACGTAATGCGACGCGATGTGCACATGTATATTATTCGCGAACTTTTCGAATTACTAATCTGATAAAGTTTCCAACGCCAGTTTTCAACAGGTACTCGAATGACTTTTCTCTCTCGTCAAAGATCTCTATTATTTAATTTATCTTCACTCAATTAAAGAAAAAATCACTCCAAGATATTCGCGTATTTATTTCTTTGAAGGACGCGCGAAGGAAAATTGGAGGAGATTGCGGAAAGACGAACAGCACGTTCACATTCGAAGCAATTGCACGACTTTATTGTTTTCCATTTTTGCGCAATATAACATTCTTACAAAAGGCATTCTTCATAGTTGTTATATCCATGGTTCGGTAGCTCATGAAACACGAATTGACAGATTTAGATATTTAATATATGTATAATAACAGCAATATATAACGTTGATACAGTTGGAAAGTTAAAACTTGTACGATATATTACAAGAAATGTAATAGCAATTTTCTAATATGTTAATTTATAATACAAAACTTCGATTTTAATAAATTCACGTGTTTAATAGTTTAATCGAATCAATGAATAAAAAATGACGAGCAAATTATGTTGTTACGTTGTATCCTCAATATGCGAATTATATATTCAACGCTAATATTTAACTTTCACCAACAAGCATATGTTATGCTACAGGGTTCTTTTAATCCAGAGATAGAGAGACTATACAGAGTAGTACAATTTCGGTGAGTTCAGTTTTCAAGGCTGCAAGTCTTTAGATAAAATGAGATAATCCGATAAGTTAATCAGCAGATCTTCAGATAAAACAATGGAATTGCAAAATATTGTATAAGAATTATGTGGAACGATAGATTCAATCTGCTCAAGACCAACTGATATAAAAATTTACATTACAATT